CTGTGCTGCAGCCATGTGTACATTGAGAACAGAGTTGAAAATGTGTTCATAGCCCTGTGACTTTCTATTTGATATATGCCTCTCTTGTTCCAAACTCACCTATGGTTACCGCAGGAACTTAAAAATGAGAGCAAGCTAAATCACATGGAGGTCATTTATGAAACCATTATGGCAAAGGCTAAAGTTAAATACATACTGCAGATTAGAAAAGGCATGGACAGATTCAAAAGAATGCCAAGAGGTGGGCAAACCAGAACCAAGCCAAAAGACTGAATTTTTTTTTTTTTTTTTTGAAAGGGCAAGATGACTTTCTTTGAAATTTTGTTCTGCATCTTTTACATCAACGAAAGAAGGCTAGGCAAGGCTCTCTCTCCAGCTTCTCACTGGAATGCCTTGGGAGCAATGCCACTTCATCTTGCATTATGTCTCTTCCAAGGCATTCCGGGAAGTGCAACAATTCCAGTGCAAATTCTCCACCTCCTCATAAGAAAGCAGAAGAAAATCAGCCCCCTTTTTTACATGGGGAGGATGTTTTTTTGGCAGGGGATTTTTGCCTACCCCTGGTTAGAACGGCAGAATCAAGGAGGCTAGGCAAGGCGAATCGCTTTAAAAGAAAGTCAAAACCTTGCCTGATTTAAAAACACAAACTAAATAAAAAATGAACATTAAGTAAGGGAAGAAGGCATTTGATGAGCAATCTCTCTTCCTTTCACCCTTGTACCCTCTTGTGCTTACAGGAGGCAGCCAAGAATAGCAGCAAACTGCAGGGTGGGCTAAGAAAACAGAGTGGGAGTCCCAATTGGTATTGGCACTGCATGTGAAAAGTGGGGGGGGGGGGGGAGGGCCCCAAGGAGCGCTAAGTAGAGTGTTCTAAGTGGAGCATTAGCGCATTATTACATTCTTGATTTGAATTGCATGGAGAGCTTACTTGGGGGGGGGGGGGATCTCTAGTGCCTTTACAGGACATCACAAAATCAGTTCCAGAACAATTTAAAAGGACTTACATAATTTTTTGGGCAAACAGTAAACACACGGCAAGTTGAAGATCAGGCAGTTGATTGCCTGGGATTTTCTGTCCTTTCCAATAAGCCTGTTACAGTGCCACAGAATGTGAAAGATTGTGGGTGGCCAGAGAACAAGGGGAAAGCTGCAGCTAAGATTAAATAATTTAGGGGATTTCCACCCCCTCTGAATAATAAGGTACAGTGCTCGCCAACAACTAGAGACTATTTAGAAGTTCGGGAAAAGAAAAGATAAGTTAACGCTGCAGCCCCTCAAAGGAGGATGATGTCATCTGTCTCCACAGGGGGAAGAAAAAGGCCCTTTCCCCCTCTTCCTTTGTCTGGCTCTAGGATGACATCACCTCACAGTCCTGAGATCTTACTCCTGTTGTTCAGTAACACTTCCCCTGCTGGGTTTCAGCTGAAGAGCTGTCTTCCTTTTCACAAGTCACTCTTTTCTCAGCAATGCTGCTGACCCTCGCTCCCCTTCCTCAATCCCACCCCCCTCAGTTCCTCCTTCCTGCCACTTCGGATTCTGAACTCCTCAAAAATTCCAGCCAAAGGAAAGTCCTTTGGGATATACCAAAGGATTTCAGTCTGTCAGCCTGTGCTGGAGAGGAACCTCCCCTTCAAAGACAGAGTAGGAATCCATACAACTGCACAACCCAAAACAGGGGGCCTCAGTGGCAGATGCCAGCCGCTTTGCAGGGCTGTCAAAAACTGAATTGTGTGAACTGATTAGGCAGACAAGGCAACTGTGGCTATTTAATTATTTTCCCAGCCCCCTCTCCGAATTGATGGACAATGCCACAGGTTTCACCCCCCTGCAGTGGTATGCTGTTGTTAAATAGGTCAAGCAACAAAGCCAAACTTATGTACAGTCATGTTTCCTCAAATGCTAGAGAAGAAGAAAGGCAAACAAAATTTGCATCAACATGGCTATTAATGCATTGCATGCTGGCTTGGTCAACAGAGTGCATGGCATCTCCTGGTGCACAGGGACATTGGGGCATGAATGGTCCTGGAGTCAACAGTGTGGTATACCAGGTGTGAGGTATTCTGAACAGAAAGCGTGAAAGAATCTCCTGGTACACATAAACTCAAATTATCAGCCTCTTCTAACAAATATTTCTAGAATTTTGAGCAGTGCTGTTGGGGTGTGTGTGTGTGTGTGTGTGTGTTAAAAAATGAGGTACTGGTACTCATGTCTTGATAAAAGTGCTGTTGGTGATGGCACAAAAATGGCTCCCACAGGCAGCAAAACGAAACAAAAAACCAGAGGTGACAATACTTGATACTAGTCAATACCACCACAGAAAAAAGGACGGATTCTGAGATAGCACTTGGGGAACAAATTTTGTGTGAAACGAAATGAGAGAAATTTTGTTGACTTACCATTTACATGCCATAACATCTGAAATCCTGTAGATTCGCCTATTTTATCAGAGAAAAACACCACATGAAGGCTGCGGCCTGTTGTGCCTCCAGCTGGGACAACAGTATTGCCACAGAATGTGCCTATCAGGCTGGATTGGGCATTGGGTCCATCATAAAGCTGAAATCAAGCATAAGGAAATGAAATGGAAATAGATCGCCGACTTGATACCAGTTTTTTGAAGCGGACATTTAAAAGGAATAGTGATCATCTGCATTGCGTGTCTCAGGTATTATCCAGATGTGTTGCAACAAATGTGGCTGGTTTTTTTAAAAAAAACCACACAAATCCAGTAGTCTGTCAGGGGCTGAAATGCAGGTGGTTTCCTGATCCCTTGACACCCTGGCCACCTCTGAGTGCTCTATTACTCTATAGTGCAATAAGTAACACATGAGATCTATTGGTTAATTATCTGTTTAGGGAAGAAGTACCTGCAGTGTTTGGTCTCCTGAAAAAAATAACATTAAGCAGTGCCTTGTCAGATAATATCAAAGTGCCACCTAGCTCAACTTTTGGCTTCTAATAATCAAATGCCTTTGGAAAGCTCACAATACAAATGCTTTACTCCTATAGGGAAATCTCTCCCACAAATAAGAATACACTGCTTTAAGTATGAGGGGCGGAGTGTAAGAAAATCAACAAGGTTGTGTTGTTGTTTCTAAAATGGAAAGTTCAATGTGCCCTGACTTCTATTTTAAGCATATAATTTTACAGCATTAGTTACTGGCACAATGAGAAGCAGGAATTAAACTCTGTATTAGTAAATATTTGTACTTGAAGTCTGGAGAAGCATTCACCTTCTATTGTGATTGTGCCCTACAGTTGTACTCTTTTGATTTTCTGACTCATGGTTCCTGTCATTCTGAGACAGTCCAGCAAAGACTTGCCATAGAAATGATGTTTGAATACCCCCATTGCTAAGACATTGGCACGCTCTTTTTCAGAATTTCAATAGAGACTTCTTTTTTGGGGGGGGGGTAATGACTATCTTGGATCATCTACTTTTCAAATAGTCCCCCCCCTGCATGACAAATCACCCCCCCCTTCCTTTTTGTGACCCCCCCCCCCGAGCCCTCAGGTGGGTATGGGAAAGAAAATCAATTTTGTAAACATTTAATGAACTACCAAATCACACTTTTCAAACCTGCATGCAAACCAAAGCACAATTATGCTTCAAGGTTTACACGTCTCCGAGTTTTGCAATGCAGTTCCTCAACCAAACAACGTGCACAGAAACACATACATTAGGAGGAAGTATGCTTATATCTGTGAAAATAACATATAAAATGAAGCATATTGGGGGAAGGTGCTTGCAAAACAATGTATATTAGTCATAGCTATGTACAAAAATGTTTTTTATGAGGAGAAATTAGCACTAAAAATGCTGGTGAATTTTCATGAGGATTTTTTTTTTTTTTAAATATTTTATTAAGGATTTTCTTGTTTTACAGAAGTGTAGTGCCTCGTATTTTTTTTCCCCCATGTAACATTTTTACAAATCCGTTTCATTTGTTGAGGCATTAGGGGGAGAAGAAAACAAAAAGAAAATAGAAAAGGGGGGGGGGAGAGAGGGAAGATAGATGGGGGTGGGGTCGGGTGGCGGTGTTTCTATTATGTTTAATGTATGTAGAGTTTGGTGTCAGCGTTGCTTGTGTTGTTCACTTGTGTTCCTTTCGTGGTGAGAGAGGTTGGGGTTGGCCTAGGGTGTGATTGTTTGCTTGTGATTGGCTGTGGTGATCTTTGTTTTCGTGTGTGAGTGAGGTGGGTGGGTGTTTTGGATCAGGTTAGCCATATTGATTTGTATGCTGTTGGTGGATTATTGTCATTGTCCTGTTGGGCTGTGTATGTGATAAATGGGAGCCATAAAAACATGCACACAGATGGGGGGAGAGAGGGAGAAATTGCTGCAGAAATGTACAGAACTGAATTTAGGATTGGAGAAATGAGGGAAGCTGAAACTAACAATTGCCTTAGGGCAAGAGTATGGAGCAGAAATTCAGGATCAAAGTTTGCAAGATGAGCCGTGCTGGCTTGGCACATACTGAAGCAAGTGAAATAATATGCATTGCCATCTAAAACCATTTGAAGTAAATGAAGGTAGAAAAGGCATTTGCCATTCTTGTTGGAGAATAGATGGGAGGGACAGCGCTACTCAGTTAGTTCTCTCAGTGACTCTCAGTACTGTCAACCATGGTGTCTTTCTCGACCACTTCTCCAAATTGAGATTAGGAGGAAAGGTTTTTAAGTGGATCCAAACACAATAAAATTCAGAAAACCAGTACAAAATGCTCCTTGATAAAATAATAAAAAATTAAACAGCAGATAAAACAAGCAAGCCACCCCAAGACTGCTATGATATAGCCAAGGCCAATGGTACTAAACAAACCGCCTATTGAACCCTTTTGTTTGCTCCTTCTGGGGGGGAAAAGTGTCAGTCGGGGTATTTTGCACCAATATATTGTGCTATTGTTGTTATGTATTAAGATTTCTTAACCACCCTTCACCATGAGGGAAGGTTGCAACAATTTAAAAATTAAATATAAAAATCAGTTAAAATCAGTTTAGCTAGGATAGCTCAGTCAGTAGAGCCTAAGCCTCTTAATTTCAGGGTCGTGGGTTTGAGCCCCACGTTGGGCAAAAGATTCCTGCACTGCTGGGAGTTGGACTAGATTATTCTTGTGGTGGTTTTAGATCTATGATTCTAAAACAATTTACAGTTGAGAAACACAGTGGGTGCGTGTGGGGGGAGGAAGGGAGGGAGGAAGTGTCAACTACACAGAAAATACGCCATACACATTTATGAAGGGAGAGAATTCTACAGCTTAGGAGCTGCTTCAAAAAAATGCCCTCTCTTGGGCTGCCACCCCCAAACTTCTGAGGGCGCCAGAACTACCAAGATGGCCATCCCTGCTGAGTTTAACAACCAACAGAAAGGAAGGAGGTGGTATTTCAAATGTTTGGAGTCTAATTTGTTCAGAGCTTTAAACACTAATGTGAACACCTTCCATTGGCTGCAGAAATGAACTGCCAGCCAGTTGGTAAACATAATGCAAAGACAACAGAAGTTAGGCTGTGGTAAAAATCCTTGCGGAGGTGGTGAACACCCCCCTCGTAATTCTTTCCTAAACTTGATCTCAGACAGCAGAAACTTCGTACTTCTACGCAGTTTCTATCAAAACAAACCAGCCATTTTCAAATAAATAATGGTTGCCATAGAAACCACTTCATGTCGTACTGCTTCCAATTTGGTTCTCAGAGCGGGACAGTTATTCACAGGAAATTCAAATGAAAACGGCGAGACAGCTGTTAACTGTTCGAGAGTGAGGCAAGAGCTAGGGTTACAAACATTTGTGAAGCGGTCCCGCTTTCTAAAGGAAAAGAACAGCTGTGCATTTTCGTGAAGAATTTTGAACATCTCAGGCATAATTCAAGTCCTCAGTAAAGCACAGCCAAGAGCCAACTCAACTGAATTTAGTACTGCCATAGAGATATTCCTATCTTAAGTCATTTCTATATCTTGCCTTGAGGTCTTCAAACGGGCCTTTTTATTTATGGCTTCGATCAGAGGTCGCCAACCTTTTTAAGCCCATGGGCACATTTAGAATTCCGGGTGAGTGCTGTGGGCTCCATACACACTTTATTTTCCCAAGGGATTTGGGTAAATAGAATCCAGTATAATTAATCCGAGCCTTGAAAAGTATGCAGAGCTGAAAGAGGAAATGGGAATGAGTCCCTTTCTCCACATTCTTTCTTCAGCTCTGTGGTCTCCTCAAGAGAGAAAAATAGAACCACACCCAACACCTCATGACATTGGGGGCAGTGAGTAGGGAGATGGGCGTCTCAGAGGCTTCATGAGTGCCAAGGGAAGACCTGAAGGACACATGGGCATCATGATAGTGACTGCAGGCTTGCATTTTAAGAACAGGAAGAAGCAAGGCCTTATTATTATTATTATTATTATTATTATTATTATTATTCTGCCCTTCTTTCCACAGGAACCCAGGATGGCAAACACACAAATGATAAAACATCTAAAAATAATTCCAATACAGAACCAGCCTGGGAAAGATCTCTACTTAAAAGGCTTGAAAGCTATTATTACAGTTATAATTTAACACATGGTTATTACATAGTTGCATTTGTACTCCCTTCCCTTTCCCCGAAAAGACCTTGAACCCAGAGTTTTGCAATAAAAAAACCATAATAAATGGCACATCTGACACTTGCATTTTTGTGTGCTATTATATGTTACTTTCATTAATAGATGTACTTTCCCACACACTTTATCCAAGTATATGCATTTTGGTCTACACTCCTTGACTGGACAATAATTGTATTGCAAAATTTGGAGAAGTGTGAATTTTGAAGAATGGCTGTATTTGGGCATATTTGGCCTTGCTCCACATGGCAGCTCACCAAACAGGCACTCCAGAGGTTAGCAAAAAGCAGTAATAAGTCCAGCTGCTGCTTTATACCCAATACAGAAATATATCCTTGTCTTGGGAAATGCTCAGCTAGAGGAAATTAATATAATGGCTCAATGCCCGACAGAGACTTCGGTACAGATGGGCAACCCCAACTGGAGAATGTGAGAGCATAAAGAGGAAGCAGTTGATTAAAAAGCACACCATGACTGAGTCACCATCCTTCTCATCTTCTAGCTATTGCTAAATGACTTACACCAGGGCTGGGGAATCTGCGGCCCTCCAGATGTTGCTGGAGGATGTGCTTCATAACTGAACGAAACACACAAGGACATCTAAGCAGAGAGGAGGCCCATAAGATCATTAAGGCCAGGGACTGAAATTATCTAGCTGCACCACTGGCAACAGCATCAGCTATTCCTCCGGCCTGCCATTTGAAATTTGCAGATTTAGCCTTCCTCTTTGTTTCTTCAGCAGCCTCCAGCAGAGCCTACTTCTCAGACCGACTTAGTTTTCATTTCATAAATATCTTAGGAATATTTATGATCATCTGGCATTCTTTGGCTCACTGACTTTTTTTACAGAGGGGTGAATAACAAAGCTATTAAATTCTGCTAATCCTTAGCAAATATAACAGAGCTGATATTGATCTGCTAGGCAGGCTAAAGGTCAGTATGCACCCAAGCCAAGGATGTTGTTTTGAGAACTGCACTGGCACAACCCTGTGCCCATTCAAAACCATCCTGCAGGAAATACCACAGATTGCCTTCTCATAGTTTCAGAAGGAAAGCTGCATTTTTTAGCAGTGAAGTTTCCCCCCTTCAAAGTGAAAAGGAATTTGTGAATAATTCGCTCATTCCAATCACTTGACCTCTCCAAGTTTTGCTTCACATCACTTTGGTTTTAAAACATACTTTATATCTCAAAGAGAATGAATCGTATCTAGAGTCTCCCCTTTCCCACAGATATTTCTGGGAATTTCATAAACGGAAGAGGAGCACAGTAGCTATCTCCTGCTTGTGATTCCCATGACTGCTAATCAGAGGCACAAGATATCTGATCCTTGAGATACCATGTAACCATCATGACCAGTAGAGCTGCAGGGGCGAGGGTTGTGGAAATGGATTCAATTCCCATTCAAAAATGAAATTACGCTGCGGGTGTGTGTGTGTGTGTGTGTACTTTTCTGAATTTTGCAGTGCTGGTCTCCTAAGTACAAAAATGCATATACCTATGTAAAGTGTGCATAAACATGGATATATTTGTAACAATAATATACAACAGGGCATTATCCTAGAGGGAAATACATTGCAATAATGCATACAAACCTGTGTATATTAGGGGAAATTTGAACTAAAATGTTGATGAATATTTATGAGGACTTTTGCAAACTGGTGTGGGAAAACAGAATACTGAACGTAAGACTGGAACAATGAGAAAATGAAACTGGCAGATTTGCTCATTCCTAATGGCCAATAGGATTGGTGGCCTTATACTTCAGGAATTGATCCAATTCCCTTTTAAAGTTGTCCAAGTCAGCAGCCATCGCTGTATCTTGTGGGAGCGAATCCCACAGTTCAATTGGATTAAGCGGCGACAAAAAGTGGCTGAGCATGCAAGGATTCCAAGTGTATTAAGAGAGGTTAATGCAGGTTTCCTTTATGGTTCCTCCAGGGACAGATGTATGCTGGTGATACATCTGAGAACCCCCATCTCTCTCTCTGCTGGCTCTCATTGACTGTTGTTGTTGTTTAGTCATTTAGTCGTGTCCGACTCTTCGTGACCCCACGGACCAGAGCACGCCAGGCACTCCTGTCTTCCACAGCCTCCCGCACTTTGGTCAAACTCATGCTGGTAGCTTCGAGAACACTATCCAACCATCTCGTCCTCTGTCGTCCCCTTCTCCTTGTGCCCTCCATCTTTCCCAACATCAGGGTCTTTTCCAGGGAGTCTTCTCTTCTCATGAGGTGGCCAAAGTATTGGAGCCTCAGCTTCACGATCTGTCCTTCCAGTGAGCACTCAGGGCTGATTTCCTTCAGAATGGATAGGTTTGATCTTCTTGCAGTCCATGGGACTCTCAAGAGTCTCCTCCAGCACCATAATTCAAAAGCATCAATTCTTTGGTGATCAGCCTTCTTTATGGTCCAGCTCTCACTTCCATACATCACTACTGGGAAAACTATAGCTTTAACTATACGGACCTTTGTTGGCAAAGGTCTCATTGACCACCAGACAGGTTTTTAACAGTGGAAGGGACTCTCTCAGAAAGTGGTGGGCTTTCCTTAACTAGAGGTTTTAAAACAGGGGTTGGATGGCAATCTGTCAGGGATTTTTTAGCTGTGTTTGCTCCACTGCAATGGATTGGACTAGATGGCTTTTGGGGGACCCTTCCACCTTGGCGGTTCTATGGTTCTAAGTGAGACAACGGCACATCAAACCAAGAATACCAAACCTATGAACATTCCCATGATTCTACTGAGTATTCCATCTGAATTAACTGCAGGCTTGTTACACCCGACTAGTATTTTGCTACATGCAATAGCTAGTATAGCTTGGTTGGTAGAGCATGGCCATGGGTTGGAGCCCCACGTTGGGCCAAAGATCCCTGCATTGCAGGGGGTTGGACAACTCTATGATTCTATGTTTCTGCAAGCCATTGAAGCATGAAGCCTCTTATTTCTAAGGCTCACAATACATCAGGACATTTGTTAAAACACACACACAACCAAAACCAAAATGGGAGCAACTCAATTAGCTACGCTGATACTTCACAGTTGCCCCGTTGTACGTTTTAATCACGTTGCCCTGAAAAGGCAGGGTGTGGCAGCTGAAGAAAAACTGCAACTAAAAATAAGCTATTAGTCATTCACTGTGGGACTTGCATGTCTCAGAGTAAAACCACCCTCATGGAGGCATTTTGAAGCATTTGGAGCTCTTAGTCATCTGAGGTTTGCTGTAATTAGAGACCATCTTTCTCTTGCATCCTTTACATTACTATGGCGGTTTTAAGTTCTGCTTTCAGATTGCCAGGTAGAAAATTTCTTAACCATGTCAGGATCAGATGCATAAGCATTGGTCTCCCTGGTTTCAGAGCAGGGCTTGCCAACATTTTGAGGTCCATGGGCACAAATGGGGTTGGATGAATATGCCACATTCAGTTTTTCTCAGCTTCTCATTGTGCCAATTTGATATTTAGTTTTCCACATCAGTTTG